TATATGATATCCAAATGGACATAAATATAAATTTTACAAATTAAACATGGTGAAAGCGAAAGAATTAGAGAAAAGTCATGCATAGTGATATATGAAAAAAATTGATTTTTGATTGGTTAAGGTTACGATTTGGGATTCGATTGTAACGATCCGTATGCAAAGAGATAGAGGCACAAGAAGAAGAGAATGATGAGTCATCCAAACTGTTGAATATGAAATTTACGGCTGAAACTGGGTTTATAAGAATGATGAGAAAAATGGTAAGAGCAAAAAAAAAAGTTTCGATGGCAGATGAAGATGACAAAAACTGGAGGAATGTCGTAGCTTTTATCCATGAAAGTCGAAAGCTTTTAATTCTTAGTTTACTCTTCTTAAGGATCAAAGTCTGTGACTTTTGTAATTTTTGTTTAATTATGATTTGTGGTATTGGTATTAATAAAGTAATACAAAGTTAAGATTCAGTTTGTAACATTCCATTTTGAGTTGAAAGTAGTGGATCTACGGACTTTGATAATAGGATCTATGAAATCAAAGCAATGGTTAAACAAGCACGGGAGATAGATGCTTGCACAGAATTTCGTGAGAACAAGAATCACGATGTGAGCAGAAAAACATGCACCAAAATAAACTGAACACCCTACAATTAACCAGTAATTTCATTTAAAACCAAAACGGATTAAAATTTTAGTTCTTTCTGAAACGTTACATAGGAATCAAAATAATCTATTCAGTGTGTGAGGGTTAAAGCTCTTTGAGGGTTAAAGTTTCCCGAGGGTTAAGACTCCCCGAGGATTAAAGCTTCCCTCTTAGGGTTTAGCTCCTGTCTCTGTTCGCTAAATAATTTAAACCTTTTATTTTGATAAAAAAATATAAATGATATATCTGCAAATTAAAAAAAATCATTAGTATAAAACGAGTATTCAATCATAATATTTTTCTTATATTTCTGTAGTAACCATATCATGATAGTTGTAGTAATTTTTACTAAAACTAAAATCGAATTAAAACTTCATTTATTTTTGCAATGTTACATACGAACTAAAATTTTCTATAACCGACCTAAACTGAACTATAGTTTTATTCAGTCTGTGAGGGTTAAAACTCCTCTAAGGTTAAAGCTCATTTTCTAGGGTTAAAGCGCAAGTTATCCAACCATTGTTTTAGCTTATCAGTGAGCATTATGACTTGGGAAAGTATTTTAACGGTTTACAGTTTGATAATCCGACGACAATCAAGACGAAAGCCAAATAAGAGTTACATGGGAGTTACGTGGAAGTCAAGCATATGGACAAGCATTACTTGAGACACAAACTAGCTCAGCGATAGTTCAACTTCAACACGTGAACGAGCTCTCGGTAGAGTTTTATATTGGCATGTTCTTTTGAAAAACGCGTCGACAAGAGTCTGCGACTCAAAAATTCAAAGAGAAAGAAAAAATAAGATAGGAATGGAGTCTCTGCTTTGTTGTTGTTGGGCAAAGAATAGAGAGAGAGAGAGGTGTCGCTGTTTTTTTAGTGTCACCGACGTCGCCAGATTCTTTTCATTTTTTTGGTTGCTGCGTTTTTAACCTTTCATCCAACGACGATGGAGAAGAAAATTGAAAGGATATTCAGTCGCCGGCCTCAATCACGGCGACACTTAGTTTCTAAACGTTGCATGTTTTGGTTAACTAGATAGTTGTTTAACTAATGCAAATCTATAGAATCTGAGGTAAACATGTTAGAGACATGTGAACAACTTAATTTTTTCTTTCTTTTGTTGGCATTTTAGTGATCAAAGTCTTCCAAAATTCATTTTACGTGTGTTTGAGAAGAGGAAGAACAAAAAAAAATCGGAGACGAAACAAATAAAATCATTCATAAACTTAATGTGTACAATCAAAGTGAACAAATTGTTTTGCGGATTGTATATTTGTGCGTGGCGAGATAAAAAATTAAACCTACTATATACACATACTAACACATTATGTGTAAATTTAAAGAACCATATAGTAAATTTGTTCATTTAGATTTTTGTTAAACTTAGTCGTTCATTTGATTTATAAGAGGACTAAACTTCTATTCGGATACTCTAAGACTATTTTTATATGATGCTCCAAAATTGTATGCTAGACATATATGATCATGTACGAATAATATGAAATCCGATCGAAACAATTAGCTGTAAGATAAGACAAAGAGAGTGCTCCATCAAAAAAAAAGAAAAAACATATTGTTTTTTATAAAAGTTTTATTGTTTAAATTCAAACATTAAGCTAGAGACAAAACCAAAACAATTTGAGTGCAAACTATCGATTGAGCTATTGTATGAAAATATCAAATTTTATTTGTTTCTATCTGAATTTAGGCTTCGATATATTTTAATGTCTATGTATTTTTTCATCGTTACTAATTTACCATCGAACCTAAAAAAAAAAGTCAGAAAGTCTTTGAACCAAAAAAAATCAAAAAAGAAACTTTACGATTTCTTACAATAGTTTTTTTTTCTCCCCTTAAACTTAATTATTGTGACTTATATCTCTTTTCCCAGATGTTTTGATAATTAAAATTGCATTAAATTACATGCCTTACTCATCTAAAGGGATTCTAAAGTGCTAAATGATTATTATTACTGCGATCACCTCTTTTCCGCGCATCGCGCGGGTACTTGTCTAGTTCAAATTAAATGTTGTTTATCTTTTTTCTTCAAAATAACTGTATTTTTGAATTTAGAAAAAAAAAATGTATTTTTTTGTTTTTTAATAGAAATGTTGGCATAACACACTTAACCTAACCTC